ATCACAAACCAGGGGATATTTCTTTCTCTCAAAAATTGAGGACTTCAGCCACATAATTGGGATATGAACCCAGATGCTGAATATTACAACAGCCTGAAGCATTCAGAACAAGTATCTGTCCAAACTGTTCATAGATCCTTTACGAATCTTTCAGCAAATCTGTGCTGAATAAGTAAGCCAAGCCTTGCCTTCACAGACAGGTCAACGACATTTGGAAACCTGCCAGACTCTCTTGTAACACTGCAAAATGCATTCTGATGCACTCTGAGAATACAGTGCTCCAGAAAATGGCAATGCCTCCCAATATTGTCACATTTATATCATGATACTTCCTAAAAGCAGTGTGACTCTGGGGTATTATTGCGCTGGCCAGTACTGTGTTGTTTCCTCGTGACCCTCATTTCAGCATCTGTGCCTCTCAATTGTCTTGAATATAGGCTGTAAGTCCTGCATACGCAGAGGCCATCCGTTCTCCCGTGCTGTACCACACCTGGCACAATAAGGTTTCAGTCCAGGGCTAGCCCCGAGGACTGTAGATGTTATACAGTCTAGCATATTATTAGTATATGTGATTATGTTTCCCTCTTGTGTCTGCTGCCAAAGGCAAAAGCATCGTTAACTATTCCTGCTTTAGTTCCATTGGTACAGGCCTATGGTTTTCTTCCAGAGTTTTTAATCCTAATCCCTGTATCTGCATGACTGCAGACCTGGGCACGTTGTGGGGTTGGTCAGAAAGCAAGAATGCTTTTTTACAAAAGTGCTGGAGACTTTGAAATTGTTTTTTTGCTTTCCTATGGCAAAACACACCTTTCAAAAAGTCCTTTCAAAGCCAAAGGTGCTTAAATTCGGTGTTTAGCACATTCACTCATCATGTGACTGACCCACTCCAAGTCCTTGCCTCGATAAATCCAAACATTAGCTTAGCTTTTCCTTTGTACCTTCATTGGAGGAAAGGCATACTCACATGGGCAGAAAAATTTGTTCACTGCATGTCTCTTCTGGATGGCTCCAATCCTCAAATAAGATATTCCAACTTACTTTCTTTCAGTTGCTTTAAGACCTTCTGCCATGAGGTTTAAAAATTGCTGTCAACAGCTAACACCTAACCAAGTGATCATCTGCAGTGTGCCAAAGGCTTCTTTATATAACCAACCTCTCCCACCACAACTCCTGCCCACTGGTTTTCTGTTCTATATCATCATCATGGAACAAAAGAGCTTAAGGGCAGGAATTATCTCTTCATGTCACCAGAGCCAAACCCCCTAATCATGTGTTGTATGTGCTACTGTAGTGTAAATAACACTAGTAACACCACCACCAACCCAATTTCCTCTCTGACGCTGCCTCCAGTTTCCGCCATCAAAACTGTGTGCGTGCATGCACCTTATGAATTCCCATGAAGCCTGTACTTGGCAATTTTGCTTTAAAATTTCAACCTAGAAAAGCATGTTCGTATTCAGAGATTTGCTAATTCAGAGTAAATGCTTGATTTGTAATAAAATTATTACAATAAAAAGGTAGGAGCTCAGGATGATTACACTGTGATGTCAGTACAACTGCAGTCACTACGCTCTAAACCTGAACCAGGAAAGACAGCAATAATTTTCACCAACTCTGATATTTGAGGTTCCTTTTAGTTTATGCATGTAGCACGGACATTATGAGGAGTCCCACTCACATATCACCACACACCCCTGAAAGGAGAATTCTGCAATGAGAAACGTGGTTCATATCACAGAATCCCTTTGGATACTTCTAGCCTAATATCTCAGTGAGATAATGATATATATTTTCTTAACGCCCAAAAAGATCTTAAGACAATTTAAATTTCCACGCACCCTCAAATTTCTCAACCTGTGTTATAGATATGTGAAGAGCAGAGATATAAAAAAAAAAATCAGTTTATGCCTTGTTACTGACTCAAGAAAAAAGTCAACCTACATATAAGCAGTTAGTCATTTAGACTCTCAAATCAAAGCTAACCCAATGTGATGCTAACCAGAATCTTATCACTTGCTGTTGATTACAGAAACTTGCATATCTTAATCTTGTTAAATCAAGGCCACTGGAGGTCTAAATCTTTGACTTTCACAATGAAAAATAACCACCTCTAGATATAACATGGCAGTTGTGATATTTACCATTAGATAGCACACCATCAGTTAGGACTCTGACAGAATGCAAGGAGCTATACTGCGTCCAGATGGATCTACGAGGCATGCTGGAGGAGCTGGAATTTGACCAGAACACTTCAATTGCTGTCCACAGC